TTTCGTTTCTTCCATTTTTTGTTCGTTTATATCCCTAATAATAATTTTACGCTAAAACATGTAACTAACGTAGTAGTATGTAGTTATCGCTCTCGCATTATTTCGACATTACTCCGATACCAAGCATTTATTTAAAGAGAAGCTGTGAATAGTGGCGATGACAACAGAAATTTGTAGAAATACATACATATTATTATATTTCTATAAAGATGCCTACGATAAACCTCAGTGACATAGACAATGACGAGCATCCTGTTTTATTGCTTTGAAAGGAAATAAAAAAGAAACCTTGTTATAATTTTGTCATGAAGAAAAAAAAAATACCCTTGCAATGCAGCGAACAAAGTAAGGAATAATAACGAGGTCATTTTTTTTAGCCAGCAAAACAAAACAAAGGTCATTAGAAATTATATGTAATTAAAATGAGTATGTAAACGTAGTTCTCCCACAATCGCGCTTTTTTCTAATTGTTTTTTCAACTCGATTATTCAATCATTTGATAGCATACTGAATTTTTATCGTACAGATACAGGTTGTTCCAAAAGTCCGTTACGAAAGTAAATTCATAGAATTTCACTATTTATCAAACTTAATCAACCAATTTTTTTGCAGATGATAGATAAAAACGTGAAGTTTTTGTTTGTATGGACAAACTTGGCAAATACCGTTCAAAGTTATAACTTTCGAGTAAAGTACCAAAATCAGTCATTTTCGATCCACTTTCGCAATGTTTCTCTTCCATTAATTCAATTTTCTATATCTTTTTTGTGACTTTTATATTGATCGCGTCTTACATTATCGTTTGTATCCATTTATTGTGGTATGTCAGTGCAAAACAAGTCTAATAATTTCAAGTTCCGAAATCAAGAAGTTCATAAGATCATTTTAACTTTTGGAGCAGTGATTGATGAATTCGAGAGGAAAAATCGATCTCATGAGATTCTTGATCTTAAAACTTGGCATTATTTTGCATCGAAATATTATAATAAATGCATATAAACGATGACGTGAGAAGTGACCGATATAAAAGCCACAAAAAAAGATGTAGGAGTTTCAAATATTGAAACAGAAACACTGCGAAAGTGCATCGAAAATGACTGATTTTGGTACTTTACTCGAAAGTTATAACTTTGAACGGTATTTGCCAAGTTTGTCCATACAAACAAAAACTTCACGTTTTTATCTATCATCTGAGAAAAAATTGGTTGATTAAGTTTGATAAATAATGAAATCCTACGAATTTACTTTCTTAATGGACTTATGAAACATCCTGTGTATTCATGATAATAAAAAAAACTAATCAACGAATTATATCAATATTATTTAGAAGTTGTATTGTACCAGTTAAACACTTTTAGAATGTTTATTATTTTAAAAAAAATGCATCAATATGATTTTCACCAAATAAATAATGTATATAGTCAAGTTTTTGGTTTTTCTCGTAATTATTTCATTTCCTTTAATTATATAATAATTGATTATATGATACTGTTTTTGAAGAGTACGCATGTGCATACATATCCAAGACACTACTTACTAGAGGTCTGCGGGACAAACTTTCTCATGTCCCGAATCCCGCTTGTCCCGTCCCGAAAAATTTTGAATTGTCCCGATCCTGTTTGTCCCGTCCCGAAAATTTTTCGGGACAGTCCCGATTGTCCCGCAGGACAGGACAAACGGGATTTTTCGGGATTCGAAACTGTCCCGCAGTACTCTATTTTATAGACTTATATTTAATTCAGTAATAAAATAATTTAAATGAGCAATAATTAAATTTAGCAATAATAATACTGAATGAGCAATAATAATACTGAACGAGCAATAATTTATTTAAATTAAAGGTAAATTTTATATGAAAGGGTGTGAAATCTCAAACTCATCGTATGTATATATGTATCACTCTATGTATATCTCCTATATCTGCATCCATATAAAAAACGTAACTCTATATATAGGGCGATGACAAGTGCTGGGGAATCCATAAGATGGAAAAGTCCATAGATGATGAACAACGAAAGAAGAATCCATGGAACAGCATGAAAGAAAGAAGAACAGAAAGAAAGGGAAAGTCCATCAGATATATATATGAGGGGAGATGAAAATGCCAATCATTTCTTAAAAATATATTTGCGACCACATCATTGGTATATCCATCAGGTTAAAATATTGTAAACCTCCGCTAGAGACAAAAAAATGTGGAAATAGATACAAAAAGAAAAAGACACACACCATCTAAATTAAAAAAAAAGCTTTATTGACACAATACTACTATGTTTTTCATTTTTATTTTTATTTATTTTCAATTGTAACTAACAATGATGTAGTTTCTCTTTTTTTATTCCTAAAATATGAAATTACTACTGCTATTTAATGAATTAATTATTGTACATTTAGTAATATAAAATTGCTCAAATAAAGTTTTTTTATTGCTTAAAAATTATTGCTAAATCGTATTTCAATTATTGCTCATTTCAATATTTTTATTGCTCAAATAAATACTAGCCTATTTCATACATGGATAAAAAATGCGGGACATAGGTTTTTTCATATTGTCCCGATCCCGTTTGTCCCGTCCCGAAAATTTTTCGGGACAGTCCCGATTGTCCCGCGGGACAGGACAAACGGGATTTTTCGGGATTCGGGACTGTCCCGCAGTGCTCTACTACTTACACATCGACATTCACACCCTAATTATCTATCTATTCGATTGATCTTCATTAGAGATATTCCACATAGAACAGTGATTATGTTTCTTCTTAATTAGAAAAGTTATTTTTTAAAATGACAAAAGTGAATGATTCCATACATGCATACGGGTGTCAATCTTTTCTTTCTGTACACTAGCATCCTTAAATATTGTCACTTTCTTCTCAGGAACCAGAATCAATCTATCCGTGAGTTTGAATCATAGTCTAAGAATTGTGTTTTAATAAATTAAATTCAACACACCCAGTAATTATTACTTTTCTTTTACATTGATTGTCATATAAAAGTATTGTACTATCTTATGATCAACATGCAATAACAGTTGAAACAATCACTAATTATGTAGAATCTATACCAGTGAAATTACTATTTTACAATGTCAGCAATATCATGTCGTTTTCAGGTTTCATCTACTAGTAATTACACTAAAAGATTTTTTCATTAGACGTCATTTTTTTTTTCTATCATTGGCAATATTCTTTCGATTTTTAGTGCACATTCCATTCATCAGTTTTGGAATTTCTGTTAATGACTAATACTTCAGCTATAGATGTGCTATTTTCCATATCATTTATAAGTATTTTTTGACAAGTGTGCAACTATATAGAAAAAACAATTTTTCTAAAAGCTATATTTCTTTTATTTTAGCCAACGATGTCAACCTTCTAGCTTAAAAACTTCTGCAAATGTCTTCATTCAGCAGTATATTGTAATCTAAACAATATTTTTGCATTCTTCTGGAATATCAAATATACTTGGATCATTAATTTTTGGTACATAATTTGTAATTGTTGCAGAATTAACTGCATCTGAAATTATCCAGTATGAAATTTAATGATTTTTGATGAAGTTATTACTTACGAGGATTCGAAATGAAAGTATTAGTACTCACTGGAATGCAATTACCATCATCACTAACAGTTACAAAGCTAACTGCATTGTTATCTTCTACATACCATGTATCTCCTTTAAATTGGTTATTGTCGAAACCATGCATAGATGAATACAAATAAGTTGCAGATTCTATAATACAATCAACAAAAAATAGCTTTATAATTATAACAATAAATGAAATTAAGCAATGAATAATAAATTAATTTTAATTACCTGGTATACAATGAAACAGTCCAATTGAACTTGATTCTTTAATACATTTTTTTGAATTTAGATCTATTATATAGGTTTGATTTTCAGCAACATTTTCAATTATCCATAGATTTGACTCCTTTTGATCTATTATTGAATAAGATATACCCTTCGCTCCAACCAAACCACGAGTTAAATCGTATGAAAAATTAAAAACACTCTATTTAGTTCAAAGAATAAATTTTAGAGGAAATTTAATACGATAAAAATGGTTTTACATAAGTAGCCACCGTTTCAGCATTTGGTACTTCTGCGGCAGTTGATGTAGTGATGAGAGCACTAAATTGGTTGGGTACGCAACATGGCTTTGGTTGATTTGCTCGAAATGTTGCTGGTTTACTATGTAAAACTACCGTAAAGAGTGTAAGAGCAATGAAAAGTGCGTAGTAAAACATTGTTTTGTACTTCGTATTAAACTCTATAGCGATTTGAACCAAATGAATATTGTGTTTCTTATTTATGCCGAATAGAAAAGATAACAAAAAAGATAAATATTCAACCCTATTATCTAAATTTTTTTATAGTTACTTATTGTGATACTATAATACAGTGACAAACCTAATCCATATAGGAATCTAATGCTAAGTGCAAATAGCATTTAATCAAGGTAATTCAAAAGATCATGAAGGAGAGGATAGAGTTGAATTAATCGTTATAAGAAACATACGATGACATCAAACTTACTAATGTCATCGATATTTTGTTGTGCAATTTTCTGTTTCTGTTTTCTATTGAATTAAATAACTGAATAATACATCGTAAAAACAAGAATAATCTAAAATCTATAAAATCATACAAGAAGCTCTTTGATTTTGATAAATCCATTTTAATCTAGAAGATGAGCCAAAGAAATCGAAAATGATGACAAAAAAAAGAGTGATTCTTCAATGATTATTGTATTTTTTGAAGATGCATGAACTAATAATGATGAGAAAATGATTATGTAAAGTAAATTTTTCTACTAGAATTTAGAATTTCGTGTTTGTTTTCTAAGTAGAATTATGTAATTCAGTTGATAGCACTGAAATGATTCGATATTGATCAAAGCTTGTTAATCATGATGTTGAATGATTTTAAAATAAGAATCATAAAATAATAATCATTTCGATTAAAAATATGGCACAAAACTCGGAGATGATTGCAAGACCTTAATAATTCTTACTGTACACAACAAAAAACGTGAATCCTTCAGGTCAATGTCCTATATAATATTATTAAATGTTTAAAAATCAATGATTCATTGTAATTATCAAAAATCTGTTTCTTTCCTTCTGACATTCGATCACATTGTGGTAATTCACTAGAACAAATATATGTACAAAACTTTGTGTTAAACAATTCCATTGAATCAAGGTTGACATAGAGTTCTTCAAAGACAAATATTGAATGTATCTTGTCTTCCGAATCTTGAATTAAATAACGAGTACATCATTAGGGAATGATGTAAAATGTTTAGAAAGATATATCAAGTTGTTAGAAAACTTCCGACGAAAAAGAGAGCTCATGGAAGGTTTTACCATTTAAATTGAATAATGATACTTTTATAACAGTTACAGTTTTATTGATAAAAAGTCGATGTAAGTATAAGAATCGACAGAAACATGGTTGATATAATTATTAATTGAATATATTTGCGAATCTTCTCTTTATAGCAATCAGCGAATTAATCGCCATACATAGCATTGGACAAAAAGAAAAAAATCCTGAAATAGCAAGAGGCAACTAGTATTGAATCTACTTACGCAATAATAAATTTTTAGTGCCAAGTTTTCATTTATTCATCCATTCTTTTTTATAACTGTAAGTTTACTGCTTATGATAACACATAAAAAAAAAACACTTAAATTCCTTAAATTTTTAGAATATGTAGTTTAATTATGCAGAATAGAAAGCTGATTGCTACTATTAGTAATATTTAGAAGTTCATATACCATTGTTGAATTCTTTATGAATATGTTGGTAACGTTGAACCCTCGATATCCTTTAGAATGGTATTGTGACATCTATGATGGAATGCGATAAAATACAAAGTGATTAAAATTCTAAGGAAGCGAACCGCTTGCACAAAACAAAATGAAAAAAAATCATTGGACCCAGGTAGGAATAATAGAATTGTTTATTAAATTAGATTCTGGTTCACACATGGGAAAATCAAATTTCCCAATAGATTTTCATTCATAGATGTTTATCTTGCTGACATGGTAAAATATGTTTGACTAAACTCATGTTCGATAGGAATCGATATGCGATGTACGTGAGATGAGAATTGAGAAAAGACACGTACTCATACGTACACCCACCATAAAACTATTTTTATTTTTGTTCTTTTATTTAACAACAGATTATTAGTGTTTTTGTGGTTATCGCATAAATAAATCGCAACGAACTAAAATATCTCATGAATTAAAGAGATGAGTAATAGTTCGGCGTAAGAATCCGATAAAGTTTAAAAAAGAAAAACTGTGTCTTGAGATATATCTATAAAATAATCAATGCATTTGCCAACATCGAAGAATTTTCAGATCGTATTGATGATTGTTGAGATTCATCCGTTGTTAGATCTAACCTAATGTAAACATTATTTTGAACGATGTGAACTCGAGAATGTCATGATAGATCACTTGCATTTGATTAGGTTTCTAAGGAAAGAAATTAAATATTGTTCGATTTTGAATGGGTAAAGTTTCTTCAAAAGAAGTGACAATATTATATAGTTGATCAATGACATATTGATAATCTTCATCAGATTTGTTAATGTCAGCGTTTAACGAAATGAGAAAAAAAATGTTCAAACATACAAGCTCATAAATGTTCTGAGTAACAATCTTTGTTGTTCTTATTGTTAGTTCGAAAGAATTTCGTTGTTGAAGGGATTCGCCTACTTCATAATATCATCATTGTTAATATGTTTGGTATCTAAAAAAACAAACTCATGGTTTTCATACAAGGTGAAGTCAGCGCAATTTCTTCTAAGATGTCTGCAAAACATATACGAAATTTCGATTCTTTTAATTAGAAAATCCATAAGAATAAATAAAAGTTGTCTTTGATTATTTAGGTGCAGAAATAAGTGAATAAAATATGATTCCCACGTCCAAACCCTTGAATGATATAGTTATATTTTACACAAAAATAGTTCCTATTGAAATTTTATTATTCTGATATTAGTTGAAGAATAATCAAATAGCATGGAAAAATAGAGCTTCACTTGCTCTATTATCTTATTACAAAAAAAATTTCTTCAAGCCTTTCAAATGAAATTAAGGCATTTGGGTTACCACTTTTGGATTATCCTAAGTGGCCTTCAAAAGTAAGTATCTTTTGCAAGAAATTATTCAGAAGAAAGTAAGAATGTGGATGTGCATGTAGGTGCGTAGGGTATTCGTATAGATTCTGTGTGAGATTATGCGATGTCTGTTCATCTACACTCATATCCCATACCTATACCCTCCAGACGAACGTGATAAAGAATTTATCTCATTTATTATTATTAAAAAAGAGGAAGTTGCAAATGGACCAATTGTTTCTTTAACGCTTGAACGACACGATAGTGGAAAAATGCATAGTTATTATCGAGGACAATACATAACATTGCAAGTAAAAAAAGGTGACCATTTTCATAATTGACATTACAGTCTGATTCAATCATTCGATGGTAAAACATATTGGATTGCTATTAAACAAGACAATGATCGTGAACTAAAAGGTATTGTTTCAAATGAGATCATTAGCAATTATAAGGAAGGCAATAGTATCTTAGCAATGCTCCCAGCTGATACTTTCGTCTTAGTTGAAAATGCTAAACATCATTTATTTATTGCTGACGGGATTGGTATTACTGTTTTATCATCATTAATTCAAGAATTATATAAACAAGGCAAATCAAATTCTGCAAAACTAATTCATTGTGTACCATCAGAAAGTCAAGCTACTTTTGCTAATCACTATCAAGTCAGTTACACACGTGTATTTATGTGGTTCAATATCATATATGAATAAGATAGAAGATTATTTGACTCAATTTGATCATCTATCTTCTCATATTCATATAGAAGCATTTCGACTATCACTTAGTTTGATTAAAAAAATGCTGTAAAAGATCAGGAAACAACTAAATCATTATAAATGTCAATGATCGACATTGATCTAAATATTATATTTTTTAGTAGTTATCTGTTGTCTTGTCTCATATTGTTTTCATTTCCATAGAAAATTATATCATATTAATCTAGCTTGTTTATTTTCTATTTCTCATCTAGATGTTCTCAAAAATTAACAGTAAAATTTTACTAGTAATATGACAATGAATATTTCTTAGATTTTCATATTCGAAAATGATGAAACTACTACATATTGCATATTAAAAACTAACTATTCTTTGTTAATTTTTCATTACTAACCGATGAGAAAAAAAGGAAGACATAAAATCCGTTTGCATAATACTATTAGCACTCTTTTAAAACACATTCTAATGATCTAGGGACACTTTATTACGAGAATAGTTCTTCAATAGGAAAGGGTATTTCAGAAAAACAATATGTCTGCAGAACACTTTTTTCGAAGAATGCATTATTCCGACTGAAGTAGAGTTTTGTTCTTCGGAGAACAAGTTCTTGTATCCGACAATAGAAATTTTGAGGAATGTGTTTTTAAATATTCCTACATATTTTGTAATATAGATTTGAATATGGCTGGGAGTAAGTGTGATTGAGCTCTAACTCCACACACACATTCATACCGGCAACTTATACCTACTAAAATTAGTGAAAATTAAAAATGAAAATAAACAAGGGATACAATTTTAAAAAGTATATCAGTTTTTGCCTAAAAGCATATAGTTTTAAAAAAATTGATATCATTTTCTTCGAAAACTCTACGAATTTTTGTCTAATAAACAAATAAATTATCATGATGCATGCTTGCTCCTTCCATTTCGACATTAGTTAAAACAATAAGAAATGAATCATACATTTTAAATTTTTTTCAGCTACACTAATGTCCGTTAACCAATTACCCTACTCAAACAAACCAAAAAAGCATACGATGGGTGCGAGGAACGGTCGAAAATTTGATATATATATATTTTTTTTCGTTCTGCTTCAATTTTGATCCCCTCGACACCTATCGAATTTCGAGTACTCGGACACTGTGTCCTATCGACGACTCATTTTTGACTGGTCGTATATACGTACTGAAAGGATCATTTTGAGTGCTTCAAAGAAATCAAACCGATCATAATAACAGTCTTGACAGCGGAGTCTATAATCTTAATCATGTGAAACTTCTTCAAAATTCGGTTGTAAAATATTCTTTATTTTTATTCAACAATTTTAGTAGAATTATTCAAGTTTGCTTCATAACTTACCTTAATTTTACAAACACACCCACACTCACTGTTTAGTCGAGTTCAATAGTCAATTCAATCCGTACGTCTCAGATACAGGTAAACTTTATTGTCAATGTAACGACAAAAAATGCGAGAGTAAATCGACTGTTCCACTAAATAAATACATTCGTTTATATATCACTATTCGACGTCATCCTAATCTAAAAGAAGTTTGCAGTGAACTATGTGGTATTAGAAGACCGATTGTTGATTTAAAACAAACATTTCCATTGTTAATCAAGGAATTAGATACATTCGAATAAACATTTAGTGATATTCAATGACGTGATAAACTCAATTCTCAGAGTTTCTATTTACCGAATAGAAATGAAGAACGAGCGAAAGCGATTCTTCAATGGCTAAACAATCAAACTGAACGAAATATTGTTGTTATCTCGTATAATTTAATGTTGAAAGCATTATTTCAATTACATAATCAACTTATTGATATGAAGAATGATGAAATAACAATGTTAGAGTTTTTCATTCAATTACAAATAGGCGAGCAAATAAAAAATTAAGATTAGAATGGATTTTCCTTCTAGATCATCGTTTCTCGTGGGTTCTGTTATTTATTTATTTATTTGAAAAAGAAATAGTTAATTGTTGAAAAAGTATTTCTTCGAGATGATCTTGCTGTGAACGATATCTAATCACCTTGCCATCCGATCTGTTTGAGCCAATCTTCGAAGGTTTTTAATTTCCATAGCTTTTGTCCCGTTGTCCAATCCTTCTCTTTATCATAATTAATATATTCTTCAAACCATTTGTAACTATCAACCAGATCATCCTGAGCGACTCCCGGCATTTGATATAGCATCGATCGAAATCCTTCTTCATCGAGTGTTTTTGATATCGCTGCTTTTCCAGTGACCTTGGTAAAAACTTTTGAGATATCGGCAAAACAAATAGCGTCACCGCAAATGCAAATATCTTGATCGATGAACGTTTCCGGATTAGTGAGAATTTCACGAACTACAAGACCTATGTCTTCGATGTCTAATAAATGTAATTTCGTTTGAGAATCAATGGGAGCAGTAAACATCAGTGTATCATCATCGGATTTAATTGGTTTGAAAAGTGTTTGCCAATTTTGCATGTAGATACCAGGTTCAAGAAAAATCGCTTTTAAATTCGGATGTTGTCGTTTGATATAATCGCGTAATCTCGATTTCCTTGAGAAATGTGGTACACTACTGAGAAATTAGATATTTCAGCAAATCAATGAGGCTATAAAACAAGCTACTTACTATTTTTCTCCGCTCAATTCATTCACATCTTCAAGTGTACTGAAGATAATATAAGGTATCGGATTGAGTGAAGCGGCAGTATCAGCCATGCGTCTACCTTGTTGCATTTCAAGTTTAGATTGATCTGGATGCGTCCAGGAATCCGTCACTGCATATATAGCCCAAGAATCTTTGAATGCACGTTGAACAGCATCACTCCTATTAATATCATACATAACCATGTCAATATCATCACTCAAACGTTTCATTGCTTGAGATTTCTCACTATTTGGATCACGTGTTAAACAACGAATCTTTCCATAAGCACAAAAAATTATTGACATTGAAACATCAACAATCGTTGATTACCTTATATTTTCCTGTTTCAATCAGCGATCGAACAACTGCAGCTCCTTGAGCGCCAGTTGCTTCAACAACAGTAACAATAGGACGATCAGCCATGATAAGTTTCAACTGAATGTCTCAGATCGATTGACGCAAAACTCTTTTTCTTTTTCTTTTTCTCCTCTAGATATATTCTTATTTAGGATGATGACAAGGATATAACCGGAAGAATAAAAAAAACACTAGATGACGAAGAAACCGACGTCAAATGATGTAGAAAAAAGAAAAATAATGGGGTTGTGTAGTCAATATGTAAAGCAAGCGAGACAAAAGCATATGGAAGGAGACATCGAATCTATCTGGCATGGATATGGTGATCTGCTTTGCTCAATAATTGACGTATTCTAATTTCAAGAAAAAACAAGACTGTAGAACAAGCATAAAATCATTCGTTGTTTTATTCGAAATTTTAAACCATTTTTTTCGTTTAAAACAACAGAGCATAATCAATGTTAGTAGAGCCATG